GGGGGCGCGGCGCCGGGCCCACTCCTGCAGTTGGCTCCCGGGGTCCGCGGGGCGGGGCCCGAGGCGGCCAATGAGCGGCTTCATGGCCCTGCGGGCCCGCCCACATCCGCGCCGGGGTCTCCGGTCCCGCGTGGCTATGGGCCGGGTGGGACTGGCAAGGGTCGGCACCTCTTCCCCTCACGCCGAGTCCGCGGCGCGCGCGAGCTAGCCTCTGCGTGCCCCGGCCTGTGTCCCCATCTCGGGGGCGTCCTCTGCCGGGTGTCCGCCGTGGGTGGGGGTGCCGGCCTCTGCCTGGAAATTGACTTGCTGAGTCACTCTGCAGTTTCGCCGGGGCAGCTGGTTGACCCCAAATCCGTTACATTAAAAGTGTTTATTGGGCCCTGCTGTGTAGGGGATGGTACGCGTACAAGGGTCTGCTGGGAGGTGGGGGAGGACTCTGTGCATGCTGGGCACAGGAGGGGGCCGCCCAGGACCCACTTGAGGTGACTCTGGAGTTGGCTTGTGGGAACGAGGGTGAAGCGCTTCAGGCAGAGGGGCCCAAGTTTGGACTTTATTCTCTGAGTGGGGAGGGGGTTCTGGAATGTGTACAGGAAGATGTCTATAGTGATGCATGGGCTGTTGGGGACTGGCCTGGAGGCTGTCGAGCTGGGGTGACAAGTCAGGCCCAGTGAGGAGGGGACAGTGAACAGAATTTGTGGGTGAGGCACGTGGAGCTGTTGAGTGGACAGTCCATTGTGTGACTTTGTCCAGCAGAGCCAACGGGCTCTCCACGAGATGAACTCTGTGTTCTCCGCGGCCTCCGTGCCACTGTGCCTGCCAGCCAAGTGACCAGGCCAGACACAGTGGCTCACGTCCTGTCATCTCATGCCTAGGTTCTGGAGGACACGTGCAGGAGGCTGGATTTCAACCCCAGCGAATATGATCTGAAGTGAGTGATCTGGCCAGGCTGCGTCCTGAATCCACCCACCCCCTCCCTCAGGGCCCTGCTGAGAGGCTGAAACCAACAAAAGGTTCCAGTCTAGAAGCCAGAAGCCCCAACCCAGGTGTCGCAGGGCAGGGCCGTGCTCTCTCCAGAGGTCTAGGAGAGGGTCCTTCTTCCGGCTTTTGGGGGCTGCTGTGTCCCTCCGCTATAGCCACGTCACTGCAGTCTCTGCCTCCTCCTCACGTGGCCTTCTCTGTGTGTGTGTGTCCTGTCCTCTTCTGTCTCTCATGAGGACACTTGTCATTGGATTTAGGGCTCATCCTGATCCAGGATGACCTCATTTTGAGATCCTTAACTCACATCCACCAAGTCCCTTTTTCCAAATAAGGTCCCAGGCACAAGTCCTGGGAGTGAGGATGTGGGCATATCTCTCAGGGGCCACCGTTCACCCACTGCACAGGGTTTCGCCTTTGGCTGTGTTAAGTTCCTGGTGGGGCTCCCAGGGCAAGAGGAAGTGGCCGTGGAGAAATGGGAAGAGACCTGCACACGGGGCTGCTGACGGTCCCTGAAGCTGCTTGCACGCATGGGTCTAAATGGAAAGGCCTGGAGCCTCACACTAGGGATTGGGTTTCTGTCCTCCAGGAGGAGATTTCACTGTAGTGATATGTCTTCACAGTATGGCTGTCCGCACTTTAGGGGCAGAGAGGAGCCCGTGGCGTGGGAGCCTGCTTTCATGGGCCTCGCCCGTGCTGTGTCGTGCGTGGGATTTTTTGCAGAGGAGGCTCTGAGTGGAGACACCCTCACACCCTCCTAGCTCCCCACCGCCTCCTTGCCTGACTCCCAAGATTCTCAGGGCCCTTGCTCTGTGCTGGGCTGTCCCCTGGCTTCCTGTCACAGAGCCACATGCCATGCCCTCTCTTCTCCCTCCACCTCCCTGAGTCCTTGGTTAGTGCATGGTCGGAGCCGTCAGACGTCGGGTCTCTTGCAGCCTTATCATCTTTCTCCTGTGTCCCTCTTCTCCGCTGACTGTACAGCTGCCCCTTGAAGAACACGGGTTTGAACTGGGCAGGTCCACTTTTTTCAATAAATACCTGTAATGTTTTGATCCGCAGATGTGGAGGGCCACCTGTGTGCACCATTCTGTGCCATTTTATATAAGGGACTTGAGCGTCTGTGGATCTGGTGTCCGTGGAGGGTCCTGGAACCTATCCTCTGCATATACCGAGGGAGACTGTAGTTAAGTTTTGGGGAGTCAAAAGTTAAATGTGGGATTTTCAACTAGGCGTGGGTTGGTGCCCCCTAACCTCTGTTGTTCAAGGGCCAGCTGTGTTTGTTTAAAAAGGGCTGCCACTACCAGGGAGGGCAGCCTCGTGTGTGGCCACATGTGTGACACCTTCCCCTCACCTCCAGGCCCCCGGCCCCCTTGCCCTCGGTTTCTCCCTAGATTTACTGTCCTGTCTTGCACTAGATTTTGGAGTTGTTTCCTGACAGTCTCTAGGCAGTGTTAACATGGATATAACACTGCCTTCTTTTTCACTTCTTCCAAACGCCAGGGCCTTATAAACTGTTCACGCTCAGAAAATCATCGTTTCCTGCTGTGTGCTGGAATTCACGCAGCTGGGTGACCACTGTGTGTGTGTGCACATCTCACGCTCTCTCACCAGCATCGTAGTTGTGTCTTAAGCTTCCATGAAAAATAGAACTGAGTCTGACGTTTTTGCGGCGTAAGTAAGTTCTCTTATTTACTCTCCTGATTCGCTGTCATCTCCTCTACAGTCAAGGCCATGCGGCAGCGGTGGTTTCACAGACGCCGTGGGCGTGAGCTTTTCTCAGACCTGAGTGCTCTGTAGGGTGCCCTGGGCTACCTGTTGGCTTTTCTCACCTGAGTTTCTTGTTTGAGAAGCACCACACTGAGCATGGTCCCAGCCTGGCCTTCCGGGAACGCAGGCTGCCCGTTTAGACCAGCAGGGTCTCGGAGTCTCCGAGAGACAGGGTCTCGGGAGACTCTCCTCTCCTGCCCTTGGGTATTTTCCTGTCTTGGCTCATCGGCTCTGTTCATCTTCCCAGTTCTTTCTGAGAAACTGCCCCCCTGGGCCTGCGAGCTCTGTGCACAGGGATCAGAGGAGGCTACAGGCCCACCCCATTGTCTGAGGGCCCGCTGCGTTGGCCTCTGCCTGAGCGGTTTGGAGTCTCAGAGCTGCCAGGTCCCTGTGCAGCCGCTAATCCGAGCTGGATGTAGGCAGAGACTGAAGGGCGGCTCTGGGGTTGAAGACTTGGCTTTGCGAGCAGTCTCGCCCTATCATTCCCAGACTCCGGCCGCGTGAATGCCTGCTCACCGTGGGGGCTTTCAGGCTGGTTCCCTCTGTGGTTCTCTAGAGCCTTTGCCTCCTGTCTTTGGGGTTGTGGCCTGGCCTCAAAGGTGGCAGGAGCAGGAGTGATGGGAGCTGGTCATTTTGGGAGAGTGAACGCCGTGGCTGGACCGCCTCGGGGTACAGCTCCAGTGGGTGACACAGGTTGTAGTTCTAGTAGAGCTTTCCGAGCACAGCAAGGTGCGTGTCCCTCAGTTGTTTCTGTGTGTTTTATTTCTTGACCTGTCCTTGGGCTGGCCATCACTTCCGGTGAAGGAGCAGCCAGCCCCTCTGCGGTTGGTCTCCCCTCTTGCCCTGCCCGCCTGCACTCAGTGTGTCCGTTCACTTTCTCTTTCCTTCAGAAGACCTGTAGCCAGGGATCCACTTCCCCTTCTGCCGGCCATAACCCCATTTTTGCAGCCTCAGGCACTGGTCGGGGTGCCGTGCACACGTGCATGGCACTCGGCAGGCTGTGTTAGCGTCCGTGGGGCAGCCCTGGGCTCTGGTCTGTGTTGCAGGTTTCAGAGGAACGTGCTTGACCTCTCTCTGCAGTGGAGGTTCGCCAACCTGCCCAATAACGCCAAGCTGGAGATGGTGCCTGCGTCCCGCAGCCGCGAGGGGCCCCAGAACACGGTAGGTGCCCCGGGCCGGCCAGCCGTGCTGCTTCCCGCTCTTCCCTGAAGGCTGTGTGGGCCACAGGCAGCTTCGCAGCCAAGTCCTCGCACCCATGTTGCCTTCTCAGGGGCGGGGGCCACAGCCACTTGCTACTTTGATGATGTGCTAAGTGTACTTGGAGGCTTAGCTGTGCTGCCACCGTCTCAATGTGTGAGCGGCACCCGCCCAGCCAATGACCCTGGTCATCGTCTTTGGGGGTCTCGGCCCGCGGAGCTCTGTCAGGACTCGAGTGTGGCCCCAGTTTGGCAGGAAGGAGGACACGTGGCTCAGAGGTCAGGGTTCATCCCGGCCGCGCCCACTGGCCTCGCTGGGACCACAGCCCGAGTCTTCCATCTGATCAGGAATGTTGGGTTCCTAGAAATCTAGGAAACAGCTGGCACAGAGAGCTACCCTCCTCAGCCTCCCTCCCCCCAGCCCCTGTCCTTTACTCAAGTCATCACGAGGGGGGCGGCCTCCGTGCCCGTGGGAGACAGTGGGGCTCAGGCCCTGGGGCATCGCTCAGCTCTCCAGAGCCCACCAGGAGTCAGGCCTCAGGGACTGACCCTAACATCGCTTTTTTCCATTATGACCACAGTTCTCCAAGTTCCACTTGGAGGGAACCCTGACTTCCCTTGGGGCCCCCTCAGGGGTATATTGGGAAACTGGGTTTCCATCGAGTGGTTTCCTTTGGGGATTTAATGTAAATGTGCACTTGAAGAGGCCCTTGGCCCAAACAGCATGTGTGGCTGTGACAGAGAATCCAGGGTCAGGCCATGCGGGTGGGCTGCGCGGGAACTAAGGGTTGTGCACGCGCCCACCTTTGGGGCTCTGCGTGAGCTCTGATGTGTCGTCACTTGGCAGGGGGGCCAGAAAGGAATTTCCCCCCATTTGGGTTATAGGCTTGTATGAAAAAGTTCAGAAAACACAATGGATTCATTTTCTATGGCTGCTTAACAAATTATGCCCAAGCCTTGAGACACAAGAACCTACCCGTGTGTGCAGAGGGGGCAGCACTGGCCGGCATTCGGCCTCCCACGCCCCACAAGATCCCATGGAGCCCTCCCGCCCAGGCCTGACAGTCAGGCCTGGGTCCAGGCTGGGACAGCTGCTGTCCTTCTCCCTCAGCCCACATCTCACCTCCTCAGATTCGCATCGCTCTGCAGCTGGATGATGGCTCCAGGTTGCAAGATACTTTTTGCTCGGGCCAGACGCTCTGGGAGCTTCTCAACCATTTTGCGCAGACGAGGTGAGCTAGGGGGAGCGGGTTCCGGCACTGCACGCTGCCGCAGCTGCGGTGGCCGGCGGGGCTGGTCCAGAGCCACAGCCCTGGGCTCTGCTGTGGCTGGGGGCGCGGCCGTCCTGGTGAGAGGACTGGTCTGAGATGGGGGGTTGCCTGTTCACCCGCCGCATCCAGCTTTCCTGGTGTGATATCGGACCTTACTCTCCAGGAAGAGCAAGGCCACTCTTGTGCCCTGTGGGGGACCTGAGAGTCCCCGAGGGTTTGGTGAGCAGTGAGGGGAGAAGTGGGGTGCTGGGCCCCTCAGCTGATAGATGCTTTAGGTATAAAACACCCTTATGAAAATGGGTTGTATTTAAAAAGAAAAATTTCTTAACGATTATTGATATGTGTCCATTTCTACCTGGTGACTAATGCTTTAAACTTGGCTCCTGAATGTGTCAAAATGGTAGCCCTTTAAGTTTTGGTCTCATTATGAGGTGGAAGTCTTGTCCACTTTGAAAGATCTCAGCCAGCAGGATGAAGGGACCGTGTGAGGCTGTGCACCACAAAATGAGGAGTAAGCCACAAGGAGGGGACCGGGCTCCGTAGTATGGGGTCCCGCTCCCCAGAAGGACCCAGGCCCTCAGGGCGCCGACCGAGTGCAATCCAGAGGGAAGCTGGGGGCGGCCATGGAAAAGGGACCTGAGGACTCCCTGCGGTGAAGACAGGGCAGAGTCCCCCGTGGGAACAGTCAGCAGTAGGTACAGACAAAACCAGGCAAGTGTGGAGAACAGCGTCCTCTGCTGGCACATGGGGACCTGGTCCCTCAGGTGCAGGGGAGGCAGGGGCCACTTTGGGGACATTCGTGGTTCACAGGTGCCCTGAGAACGGGTTGGCTTCTAAACTGCATTTAAGACATAGTTTAAGAAACATCAAGGGAAGTGGAGACAGCTCTTGGAAGAAATCGGGTGCCGTCAGGGGGAGGTGGGCCCGGGAGGGTTTGTAAAGCCCTGGGACTGGACAGCAGCAGTGTGGGTGTGTCGGGATGCATGCTGACCGTTTGTGTGCTTTGTCAACACGGGAGTGCCCAAAGCAACTTGTGCCGTTTCCTTTCTGCTTATGAAGATATTGTGATGTTCTCCTAGAAGTTCCCTCAGCGTCGTTTGCTATGTGGGTCGTTTGTGTGGATGCTGCCTCGTTCGTGCAGCCCCAGCCATTGCTTCTGTGTGTCACTGCACAGACAGCAGGAAGTCTGTGCACACCCCTAGTTCTTCCCTGAGAATGAATTCTGAGAGGCAGAATTGCTGGGTGGACGGGTAGGGGCTTCCTTAAGTTTCACCTCCAAAAACGCTGAGCCCAGTCTTTCCTTGGAACTGGTGTTCGGTGGGGTTCACTGACCTTGAAGCAGGTTCCCATGAGGGAGGGGCAGCGACAGCCCCAAAGCAATGGCCAGAGGCTGGGTTGGCACTGGGGCCAGGCGGGAGCTGGTGTGCTGCCGGCCGCTGCAGGTCCCCAGCAGGTATGAGTGAGGTGCTGGTGGGGGGCGTGGGGCAGGCTCTCTGGGATTCCCAGCAGGCAGGGTGGGACGCGGGGAACTGGCTTTTCTTACTTGATGCTTTTGCAGAGGCGAGAGTCCCAGAGCATTTGGCGTGCAGCGCTTGGCAGGAGCCATTGGAGGCAGCACAGCGCCCGGGCCTACGGTTGCTCAGGTGGCCGGTCCTTTGCCTGGGGATAAGGGTGGGCATCTGGGGCTACTAACTGGCCACTTGACATGGCACCTGGGCCACACATGCGGGCCACAGAGGTAATTAAGAATTTTCTGGTAGCCACATCAAAGGAAAGTAAAACCAGGTGCGATTAATTTTAGGAGTTTGGTTAACTTGACTCCATATATCCAAATATTACCCTTTGAACATGCAATCAACAGGAAAATGAGATATTTTATACTCTTCGTTGTGGGAGGTCCCTCACACCTGGAGCAGACCTCCTTCTGGGCCAGCTGCCACACTTGCTCGGCGCCCACAAGTGGGGCTGGTGGGTGCCTTGGTTTGCACTGGCCTGGACGTGGACTGGCCAGTCCTCCTCTCTGCTTCTTGGGCAGGAAGGCCACCAGGAGAGGGGCTCCAGGCACGCCACCCCCAGGCTGGAGTCTCCGCTGAAGCCCTGGGCCACCTGCTCCCAGCCGTGTTTCACAGCCAAGCCCATCTGAACACGGCTCATCATACCAGCTGTGTGCCTGGGAAGGGCAGGCCATCTGTGTGTTTCTGGGGTCTGAGGTTTGAGGCCGGGGCCCAACCTGGGGTTGCACTTGGGGTGAGTTTGTGTACCCAGACCCAGGGCCTTGTGCTTGGCCAGAGGCATAGATGCCATGGTGTCCACTCAGAGCTCTCAGGCAGGCCCCCCGTTGTTTCCTTGGGAAAGCCAGAGGCTACTTCCCTCTTGAAAGTGCCCCTGGTCTGCCTGCCCTGAAGGAGGAAGCTGGTTCTGTCCAGCCTTGACCTTTTGCTCCCTTAAACTTGTCTCTTCATCTTTTCATGGCTGGGCTGCCAGGTAGGGGGTGTGAGTCACCTGGCCCCTTGGGACGTGGCCTCACCCAACGTGGGACTCCCTGTGGCAGCAGGAGCCGTTTGAGCCTGAAGTCACAGGTCTGTCGGTTTGGGTTGGTTTTTGTTATTCTGCCATGGGCAGCACGGTGGTGCCAGGCGTGTGTTGGCAGCGCCCATGTTTGTACCAGCCACGACTTGGTCAGGCCCAAATAAGTGACACATACAGAAGGGGCTTCAGGTGGCCTGGCTGGCCCCCCAGTTGTGGGTCAGCATGCTTTGTGCCCCTGTACCCTACCTGGCTGGCCCCCGCTGGCCCCCACCCGACCAGGGGAACAGGTTTGCTGGCCTTACACAGAGCGAAACCGCACTGGTCCCCCCTGAGCACCATGGTGCCCTGCTGAGGCGGTGTCTGGAGCAGGGCGCGCACCCATGCCTGGCCTCGCGTGGCGGCTAGTGGTTCTGCTGAGTCTGGAACACAGGGCTTCTTGGGAGGCCCGGCACAGCCCCCTCGGGGACATTTGGAACTTTAGCGAGGTCTGTTGCAGGGGGGCCGCGGGCTCTTGCCGAGGGTGCGTGAGGGGACGGCTCCTTGAAGCGCTGGAATGTCCCCTGGGTCCACTGTCCCGGACAGAAAGCTCTGCTAATTGGCTGGGAAGGTCTGGAAGTGATTGGGCCACCCCTCCCCTCGCGTGTTTACAGGGAATCGGATCCCTCTGGAGCAGCCACACATCAAAGCCCGGCTGGCTGGCGTTTGATGTCCAGAGGCCTCGGAAGGCAGGAGGCAGGCGCTCGTTCGGCCCTGTTTGTGATTTGCAGTCCTGCTCGCATGGTCCTGGGGAGGATTGCGACAGGTCCTCCTCTGGTACTTTGGGGTCTTGTGCTTTCCTGAGGCCTGGGTTCACTGGGTCTCGGTGGGCCGGGTCTCAGGCCCTTTGGGGAACGCCCTGGCCCCACTCTGTGTGTGAGGTCACCCAGCATGGCAGCCCATCATCACTGTGGTCCAGGCTGTCAGCCGCTGGGTCTCTACTTCCTGCGGAGACCTCAGGAGGCAGTGAGGTTGGTCGTGCCCCGACTTGGGCAGGGGCAGGGCCACACCTCCTCCAGGAGCCCCCACAGCTGGCTCTGGATTGTGGGCACAGCCCTGGGCAATACACAAAAGCATAAGCTAAAAAGCAGAGAAACAGGCAAAACCCACGCCAGAGCTGCGCAGGGGGCCTGGTCACAGTCTCGGACAGCGGAGTCTGCAGAGTGCGTGTGCAGCCTTACACAGAGCGAGACCACGCTGGTCACCCCGGCCGCTTTGGGTGCCCAGCTCAGCTCCTGTGTCTTCCCGCCTGTCACGTCCATGTGGGTGTGAGCCATGAGGCCTGGGAGGGCAGTGCTGTGCGGACTGACGTTCCTCCAGGCCTCCTGTCCCTGGGGCTGCCCGGATGTTCCCAGGGACTGTCGGGTAGGCGCTTATTTGGAGGGCTAGTTTACAACTATGGCAACGCTGGAATGAATTTTCCTTTGGTGGGCACGGGCCTGTGTCCTCCGGGTAAATGCTGCAGAGCCAAGACGTGGCCGGCGGGCAGCCCATAACTGGGGTCATCAGCTTGGGCCCCGGTAGTGAGAGGCGGCGTTGGGCGTGGTGTGGCACGTGAGCGAGTGTGTGCCTGCACGCCCGCTGTCATACGAGCCCATCCAGCGGTGTTGCAGGGAACTGCGCTCTCCCATCTCGGGGTCCGGCTTATGAGTAAGGAGAACTCAGTGGCTGGTCTTATGCAGGCAGATGCCCGCTGCCATCTTACTGGAGAGCACAGCCTCCAGGATCAGAGGGGGGACAGTTTGGCCCTGGTCAGTGGTGACTTGGGTGACAGCGTTGAGGGGTTGCTGGGTGGGACATCTGCTGAGTTTGCTATTTCCCAGACGATAGAGAGAAGTCTACGGTGCGTCCATGGTGTTTCCTGCCCGTTTGTCCTTGGGAGGCTCCCGTGCCCAGTTGTGTGGCTCAAAGCTGAGGAGTCTGGGCTGCACATCCTGAACCCTGCATGGCCTTCGGTTTTGCTTTTTGTGTTTTTTGATGACAGGGATTTCAGTGGCCCTCGAGTTGTGTGTGGGCCTGTCCTGTGTGACCATGTGGGCCTCTGGACAGGCTTCACGAGGACACACCACCTGCACCCTCCCAGTGGTGGCCCCTCAGGCCGCCCGCCCTGGTTCCAGGCAGCAGGCTACAGTGCCAACACGAGGCTCTGGTCAGAAACAGCCTCTTAGAACGGGAAGACCACGGTGCCGTGTGTCCCGGTGTTGCACCATGGGGCCTGGGTGGAGGGGACGACACTCAGGGTACTGGTGGCCTCAGAATCCACTTAGTGGATTCGTGCCCTGAGCTGCTCCTGGCACTTCAGGGGTCAGCGACTCCCCTGTAGGACAGTTTCGGATAAAAGCCCAGATCACAGTCCCAGAGACTCTCTTTTTCTTCGCTGACCCTGGGCACAGTTGATAGTGACCCTGGGCCCGTCCAGGAGGTGGTTGGTGCCGCTTGTCACCCTGCTCTGCGTCCGTGTGCTTCGAGTCTTGAGCTGGTGGGAGACATCCCCACGCCATGTGCCCATGGGCCAGGCCTCTCGGGCTGGTGGCCGCCTCCTTCTGGGTGGGGTGGGCGGGGCCTCCGCAGTGACTGGCTGGGTGCCTGGGTGCCATCCCAAGGGCACCAGTGTCCTGCGTGCCAGCGGCTGGCCTGTGATGTTTCTTCCCTGTCCTGCAGGGAGTGCCTGGAACAGCCTTGTGAAGCCAGCCCGGTCTGCGTGTCCATGAGGGATGAGGTAGGTGCTGCGGCCCCACCCGCCTGGCCCTGGGCCCCACCACCCGCTCCCAAGCGGCCATGCAGGCCCAGCCCCGTTTTCCAATCTGGAAAACTTACTCTCCTTCAGACCCGCCTTCAAAGAGCGAGTTGGTGGGGGGGGGGGCGCTTCAGCTCTGAAAGCGCGATGTGTTTCATGGAAGAAACGCAGGACGCCGGCTCCTGGAACTAACCGCCGGCCGCCCAGCCGCTCCCAAACCTCCCTCAACGCCCTATTTGTTTTCTCAGCTTCTTTCAAAGCCCAAGAGTCACAAAAGTGGTTTCATTTTAATAAATATTTGCTTTGCTCTGTGTTTTGATCTTTTTCAAAACGGAGTGCAGCGTGGTGCAGGCTCTGCCTGTCCCCACCCACCAGCCCGTGACGGGGACCCTCCTGGCGCTTGGTCTCCTGACTCACAGGGGCTTTTTGTTTCGACTCTGGCCAAGTGCCCTTTCATTTCCCAGGGTGGCCACTATCCCCAAGGGGCCCCGGGAGGGCCCTGGTGTGGATGGGACGTACCCACCAGGGCTGTGAGGGGCGGGTTCCCGGGCTGTGAACCGGGGAGATCTGGGGGGCATATGCTCCCCTGGAGGACACGGACCACTGGGCTGGGCCAGGGCCATCGTGGTCAGTTCATCCCTCCAGAGGGCTGGCCAGCCGGTCAGATTTGGCCTGCCCAGGCCTGGGGTGGGGCGGGGTGGGGGGGACAGACCCCGACCAGTGAAAGATGCTCGGGAGCAGCTGGGGGCCCCATTGCGCTGGCTCTCAGGCTGGGGCGGGGTGTGGGAGGGCTTCGCAGGGGGGCAGGGCCTGTGGTGCCCTCACCAGGGCCATGCGAGTCCTCGGCCCAGGCCAGGCAGGGGAGTGTTGTCAGCGAGGGGCCAGTGGACGCCCGGGGCACAGCTGTCCTGTCCCCTCCTTGTAGGTGACTGGCAGAGCCGCCTTGCAGAGCACGACGCTGCAGTCACTGGGCCTGACCGGGGGCAGCGCCATCATCAGGTGGGGGCCTCAATGGAAAGAAAATGGGAAACAAACGCAAGAGCACATACGCCCCCCACGGCCCTCGATCTGAGGCCACTGCCCCAGGGCTCTCGCACCTGCAGGGTGTGGGGTGGGGGTGACGTGTCAGGCGGGGGCCTGCCCTCTGCAGGGGCCGGTGGGCAGGTGTGCAGCCCATGCTCACGCTGCCCCCCCACCAGGTGAAGTGAGGGGAGGGGCGGGAGGGCCTCCCGGGGACTGGACTCAGATGGTGAGAGCCGTGTGTGGACTTTCACTCTCCTTCTGCTCCTGCCCCCAGGTTTGCCATGAGGCGATGCAACTCGGCCATCAAGCAGGAACCTGGGGGCTCCTGGAGTGAAAGCCCAGGGAGCCCGACCCCCTCCCTGTCAGCCGAGCAGGCAGCCAGCAGCCCTCTGCTGCCATTGAGCCCCACAGGACTCAGCCAGGGTGATGTGAGCCGTCAGGACCAGGCAGACGCCTCAGGGGCCAGCCACGTGGATGGCCTGGGCCCAGAGCCTGCATCCGCACAGGCAAAGCAGATCTCAAAGCAGCCCACCCCTACCTGCTTTGTGCCTTTTTCTGGCGGGGGACAGCGCCTGGGTGGCCCCTCCAGCTCTGCGAGGTGTCTGATGTCACCTTCAGCCAAATTGCCAAAGTCCTTCTCCAGCCCCGGAGGCCCCTCCAAGCCGAAGAAGTTGAGGCCTGGCCAGGCTCCCCAGCTGGAACCGGAGCTGGTAAGGGGTGAGCTGGGTGCCGGGGGTCCTTCCTCCTGACCGCATTTGACCTCTCAGCTGGTCAGCCTTGGCGGGGAGCAGGGTTGCTGGGCGCGTTTTCATCTTCTCAGGGAAGTGATTCTTTGGTGTGGTTTTGTCTTACATCAGCTTCATTGAGTTACCATTTTGGATGTAGTTTGATGGATTTTGACAAACCCATGTTCCCCGGTGACCACCGTCACAGCCAAGAGAGCTTGTCTTCCTGGTGGCCCTTGTGTGGGTGCGGGGACTTGGAGCACTCGTGTCCCAGGCGGTGCCTCAGAGCCGTCACCCTCCACCCTTCTGCCTGGGTTGCTGGTTTTGACATGAAGCTGGCTTTGGCATTGATTGTCCCATGTTACACTTACTGCTGAGCCAAGCCTTCCCACAGCTCATCCACCACCAGCCGGTGGGGTGTGGGGCAGGCAGAGTGGTTTAGCATTGCCGCAACCCAGGCACAGGGAGGTGGGGAGCACGCCCTCTTCACAACCTGGAGGGACTTTTGGTGTCAGGTGGGGATGTTCTTGCGTGGAATCCCCGCTGGCCGCCTGCACTGCAGCTGGGAGGAGGCAGTGTGATGAGGCGGCCAAGGGGGTGGGCACTTGTCTGCGTCAGATGCCTCAGTATATCACCCTCTTGTCTGGTCAGCTTTTTGGGGTGCAGTTTACTGCATAAGCAAACCTGCTGTCAGAGTGTGTCTGGCCAGTTTTGCAAACAGCACATTGCCTTCTTGAGCTGTCTTTGAGTACCTCTGACTTCAGCTGTCACCCACTTGTCCCCGAGTCTCACACCCACCTCAATTGACGTGGCCACCCCTGTCTGCTTCACTGACCACATACTGACCTGAGGGGTAGAAGGTGCCCCGCATTTTTGGTGTCATCCGGAGCACCCTCTCATTCTTGCCTCCAGGTCACACACCTGGGGAGGGTGGGGTGTTAGGGACACCTATGCCTGCTGGAGGGTGGGGTGGGGTGGGGTCAGCGTGGGGCGGAGCCTGGGTCTCTGCAGAGGGGCAGACTGTTTGGTCTCACTTCTGCTCCCTGCACCGCTCTTGGTGTGCCTCTGTTGGATGCACAGGTAGTGGGCAGGGGGGCAAGCCAGTCCTGACCTCCATGAATGTCTTTCCTGGGGAGGTGGTGGCAGTGGTGCTCCGGCTGTTTGGGGACCCCACTGGCTTTTGCGCTGACGTTTGGGCCACATTAGAAACCAGTACGCAGCCCCCAGTCTTGTGATCTTAGTCACCTGGGCCCAGAATCAGTAGCCAAAAGCAGACCCATGTGTTTGGGGTGAGCCAGTTAGGGGGGGCCTGACTCCCTCTGGGCTTCCTTTTCCTGGGATCGCTGGGTTTAGGGCCAGACACTGCGGCCAGGACTGGCTGTCTCTTTTCCCCCATCCTAAAGGGGCAGAGGTTGCACCGAGTGGGGCTTCTGGGTCTCTGGCCCCTTGCCCAGGCAGGCCCTGGCTCTCGGTGTGTCTTGGGGGCCCGCGGATAGCCCTGTGGGCTTGTGCTCACCCGGGAGGTGGTTGCTGTCCGGACACAGGATCCCCGCACAGCCTGGAGCACTGACCCTGGGCCCCAGGCAGGAGGGGGCATCCGCCTGGTCGCCAGCAGCGCTGCCTTTGATCTGGGAGCCCAGCAGCTGGCTGGTGGTGGAGTGTCCCCGCCCGCCTGCCTCGTGCCTCCTGTCACTGACAGCCGCACACCCAGAGGCCGGCCGGCCACATGGTGTCTGCTTTGTGTCCCTTTTCATTGCTGGGGGAGGGGAGAGGGGAACAAAACAGAACTTTTGGGGGAACTTCAAAGGTACAGTTTAGTAATCAAAAGGAGTTTCCAAGTTTCCCATTAATGTTTTGCCTGTGTGTGGTTTTAGGATTTAAATAAAGAGTCGGAAGAGACAGGATAAAATATAGGCAGGTCTTCAGCTGAGGCCGGGATGGTTTACAGACCCGGCGGCTCCTGCCTTTGATGTCAGAACATTAATTATTAGAAGGTAGTTTAACTGGCCATCAGAAACGGGCTTGGGGCGAGGCTGGGGCTGCCTGGCGGCCCCTGGCCTGGCCTTTGAAGTCCTCCTGCCGGCCGGGAGGCCGCCCTGCAGCTCCATGCACGACAGCCTCCATCCCAGGAGGCTCTCCCTTCCTCTCCCCCTGCGCAGAGGGCACAGGGTCCCTGATCAAAGTCCCCGGTCCCTGGCAGGATGGGTGGCTGACAGTGGTTGTCCCTGCGCCTGTCTGTCCCGGATGGAGGGGCCTGGGTACTTTCTCAGGGCAGGCGTCAGCCTCGCCTCTGGCCGTTCCCGCTCTGGCTTATAGGCAGGGGCTGGGCGGCGCCCGGCCACACGGAGAGCATCGCCCTCACTGCCCTGCTGCCCTCTTCTCAGCCTGGGTACCTGCCCACGACGTCCACCCGAGAGCAAGCCCCACTGCCTGTCCCTGCCATGCCCAGTGGTGTGTGTGACTGCCCCCGGCTCCTCCTGCAGCCCCAGCTGTCCTGGGGCACCACGTGGTCTTAGCTGGAATGCCCATTGAGGTTTCTTAGAACATAGGGGAGCAGCTATGAAGGCACTGGCTGAGTCTTGAGGCAGTTTTTGAAGCCTGGTGACAGTCAGGTGCCCTCCGGCATCTCTGTCCTATAGGGTCTCAACCATAACTGGACTTGGGGGAGGGACAGATGCCTAACCTGTGCACCGTAGTGGAGAATGTGTGTGCATGGCACCCCGGGCACCCTGAGCTCCCCAGACAGGGCCAGGCCGCCTCCGTGGACGAGGCCTGGGGGCCCGGTTTGCAGAATTTGCACCCCAGGGGCAGCTTCTGCGCCTGTGGCTGAGACCCTTGTTTACGTCAGCGTTTGGGGGGGGTCCGTTCACCTTCTCCACAGCCACACGCCTGGCCCTGCTGTGGGCACGTGGGAGCTGCCCAGCTCCAGTGCTCAGCTGCCCTGTTGTCTTCTTTCTAAAACATCTCTCATATCTTCTGCTGGGAGGGTGAGCGGGCGGGCCCAGGAATGCCCCCTGGGCCCTGGGCCGGTGTGAGGGAGGCCCTGGCTCTGCTGAGTGCTCGCTGCTGGGGGTCTGTGCCTCCGAGCTTCGTGTCCAGGGCCGTCCTGCATGCAGCCTCGCGCCCGCCCGCCCGCCCGGGTGCAGCCCTCCCTGCCCGCCTGCCCAGGCCTTGGGCGGTGTCTTATGTTCTGGCGCTCCCTCCAGGGGCGGCGGCTCTGGGAGTAACTCGGAAGGTTTGGCCTCCATCCCTCGGTAGTGATTCATTTAAGCTCTAAGCCTCAAGGGGAAACGCTTCAAATTCTCTCTCACCAGAATCATTGTCAGGACCGTCTGGGCTGCAAGCGAGGCGGGAGGGGAGGAGAACTAGAGCCCTCACCAGGAAGCTGGAAATCTGGGCTCGAGGTCACCTCCAAAGAGGTTTTACATTTTTTTCTCCATGTGTCATCATGTCCTGGAAAATTACTGTCAAGAAAATGAAACTGAGCGGGCAGCAAGGCCACTCCTGACATGAGGGGACCCCAGCATGCCCAAGTGTGTTCTCAGCCATTTGTGTGGTGGCTGCTGGAGTGTGTCTACCCAACTGTCCAGAGACCGTCAGGCCCACATCTCAGCCCAGCTCCCGGTCCCCTCGTCCCCTCTGTGCTCGGCCCCCAGCGGTGCCAGCCGGCCACACTGAGAGTGGTGTGGGGCTGTGGTGGGCACTGCTCGCAAGCCTTCGTCCCCTCAGGCCTTCCTCCACCACCTGTCCGGTGTGCCAGGGACTCTTTCTGAAGGCACCAGTGGCCGTCCACAGCTGACAGTTGTCACCAAGTCCCCACCCCTAAATGGCCTGGGTGTCACTCTAGCGTTTGTTTAGCTCTGGCTTGTCACCCAGGGCCTCCTCTGAAAGTCACCCTCAGGCGGTGCGCCTGTTCCCTCTATGTGCCTCCCGGGTCCCTGGCAATGTCATCCAGGTGCAGACAGCTGAAGGCCATCCACCAATGAGGTGATGGCAACTCACGTTCTTGGTGGCAGCTCCGTCTTCCACGTGGCTCCCTGGAAGCCTCTGGAGTCAACCTGGAGATTCGAGCCATGGAGGTCAGCTGTCAGGAGCGCTGAGGAGGTTCCGGGCTCCATCCTCAGCCCAGAGCCTGTGACCCCGCCAGCGTCTCGGATGCCAGCTGGAAGGTTCATCAGACCCCTCCCCAGGCCCCAGGGATGTGCCCTTTGGCCAGGACACAGGACTCACTCCTTTAGTGAGGGTTCAGGCATGTGCGTTCTGTTTTGCTAATGACATCTCATTCTAAACCTCTGTTCTTCATCCAAAAATGTCTCCATAAACCACTTGGGCTGGGAGCCATGTGTAATACCTGCCCATGACCAGGGACCAGTGGGAGAAGGGACAGCAAACGGGGCTAGGGCGCACTGCTTGGGCGTCTTCCCACAGGAGCTGTCAGACCAGCCCCTCCTCCACCCCCTTTGCCCGGAAACGCTCTCTCCTGGGAAGGCTAAGGTGAGGGTTTGAAGCCCCCTGGCTTCTCCCTTGTCTTTTGGTGGCATGGTGACATTTCCTGCCAGCCCAGCCACCAGTTCATCTGTGTATTTTTGTGGGACAGGGCCTGCCTGGGGCCAGGACATGGCGGCAGCCCTGGGGCATGGTTGTCCCCTGGAAGTGCCGAGGCCAGAGTCGCCATGTGCTCCCTGGGACTAGCTTCACCAGCCGTGTCCCAGGGTCAGGGACTCATCTGGATGGTCAGGCTCAACTTGGTGCCACAGGCTGCATGTCACCCAGTTGGTGCATTCGTGGGTGATTCGTGTGCCTGGAGCTGGGCCCTCCAAGGGAGGGCCTGGGACAGGTGGGCCTAGAGCCTGCTGTTGGCCCGCAGCCGTTGTGCTGAGGCCCCCAGGGGCCCAGCTCTGGACACCGCGACTCCCGCTCAGACACGTGTGTCCTGTCCTTGCCCCCCCCCCCCCCCCCGGGAGCCCAGGCTTGCTCTCGGCCCTTCTGGAATGCAGGCGCCGTGGCTGTGGGGGGCAGCCTGGCGCCTGGCATCTTGTTATAAAAAGCTCTGGCGTAGACTGCTCGTGGCGGCTGCAGAATGGTTGTGGCTTTGAAGGGGCAGCCCCCAGGGGCCTCGGCCAGCCACCTACGGGCTCTGCTGCCCAGGCCTCAGCCAGCTCCTCCCGGCCACTGTGCCGTAGCGTTCTGAGGTCAGAGGGGCTTCCTGGCGAGACCCGACCTCCTTTCTCTGAGGGAGAGGGCATGGCAGCTGTGTGCTCGGTGACTGCAGGGACTGTCAGAGTGGACAGTCAAGGCCGTGGGTGTGGTTGGGGGGAGAGCAGCCCTAGAGACACCTGGCAGGTGCAGTGGGGGGGAGTGCCTCCCCAGACGCTGTGCGGCTTGGGCCTGGCTGTCCCCAGGGCAGTGGGTCTGACCTTTCGGGCAGGCAGGGCTGTATGGAAGAAGACCCGTCTATCAGAGAAGTGCGTTCCCAGCGCCCGCCCAGCGCGCCCTGGTCCCAAATATGAGAAGCTGGGGGTGGGTGGGGCTGCTTTGCGCGGCGGGGTGGGGGGTGAGGGAGGACAAGACCTGGCATGGACACCTCGGTCAGGCCCGGCTCCTCCAGCAGCCTCAGTGCCGCGAAGTGTCCCCTGCCCCCCCCCTCACTGCCATTACCCACCCAGAGGCCACAAGCAGAGCAAGCCCTGCCTTGTAATTCCCATCGCCCTTGCTGCCAATTAGGACTGACGCTGTCGCTTCCTGTGTCCCCAGGGTGGGCAGAGGGAGGAGCCAGGCTGCTCCCCTGGGGAGGGGTGGTGGGGTCAGCCGGGCCGTGGGGCCAGCGGTTGGCAGGTTTTTGCCAAACCTCTAATTTTGGGGCTGCCGCTTCCCCTGCCCCTCCCACGGAGCCCCAGCCGTGGCCTTGACCAGGTCACTGCTCCCCAAGCTTTGGGGACTCTGATAGCAGGCAGCTTCCTGGGCCTCTTTGGGGGTGGGGGAGGGGAGGCTGGCCCTGCCAAGCAGCCACTCGCCTCATCCCACTCCCTGAGTCCCCCCAGCAGTGACTGAGCCAGGAGCCTAGGGCCATGCGCCCTGCTGTTGAGCAAGGGTCCCAGCATCAGTGTTGCTGAGCAGACAGGCATGGAGGGAGCTGCTCCAGCCTGGACAGGCTTGGCCTGGGGTCCCCAGCCCGCTGTCCCACACCCCACCCTGGAGACCTGGCCCTGGCTGATAGGTGGGTCTGGCGAGGCCTGGGCTTGGCTCAGGTCTGCATGGCCGGTCCTACAGCAGGGCCTGGGTGACCCTGCCCCCTGTGGGAGCCTGCGTCAGCAAAGCCCTCTGCCCAGCAGCCGGTCGACCGGGACCCCATGGTGTGCCACCCTGACCTGGAGGAGCTGCTGCAGGCCTGGCCTGCGGAGCTGCCGGACGAGTTCTTCGAGGTGACTGTGGATGACGTGAGAAGACGCTTGGCCCAGCTCAAGAGTGAGCGGTGGGTGTGACCCCAGACCCTCGGCATCTCCCTGTTCCCCACTTCAGGCCCCCATTACCTGTGCCCTCACAGCGCCTTGGAGCATGTGGGACCCAGGCAGGGAGTGCCTAGTCCCATCCAGCTTGTGTGGGGCCTCCACCGTGGCTGGGGAGCCCTGGGATTCACCCACCCCTTCCGCAGGGCGCGTCTGGAAGAAGCCCCCTTGGTGACCAGGGCCTTCAGGGAGGCTCAGATGAAGGAGAAGCTGGAGCGATACCCTAAGGTACTGGAGGGGCTGGGGTGTCAGCGCGGGCTCAGAGCGGGGGCCTCCCTCGGCCACCACAGCCCACACGCCACTGGCTGTGGTCAGCTGTGCTTCACCCGGCCTGCACAGCCTCAGTTAATGACTGAACCAGTCAGCCCGTTTTATGATGAAAACATAGTTCAGTGTGTTTTTATACATGTACACGGGGTCACTACCCAGTCCTCGCGCCCAGCCCCTGGCATAGCTGTAGTCGGGAGCGTGGTGGGGACAGCGAGGGCCAGGAGGCGACTGGCACTTCCTCCTGCCCCAGTCCTGGTGTCTGCCCCCTGGGGTGGGCACCTGGCCACCGTGGGCGCAGGGGCGCAGCTGACGCCTGGCTTGTCTGCCCAGGTGGCCCTGCGGGTCTTGTTCCCTGACCGCTACGTCCTACAAGGATTCTTCCGCCCCAGCGAGACAGGTGAGTGGCTGCCTGGACGTTCTTGAGGGCCAAGCCCCTCCTGGCTCCTCCGAGGCTGTGGGACCGCCCGCGGCCACCTGGCCTCTGGGCTCCAGGGAGGCGGATGCTTTCAGGTGGCTGTTGTCCCTGTGGGGTAGGCAGCGGGCTCTGAGCTTGCAGAGCGGGTTGGGGTGCGGGCACAGGGCCAGGACCACCTGGGTGCCCCGTTACCTCCATCTGGGCATCGAGGGAGGCAGGCTCCAAGCCCCCCATAGCCAGCAGTGGAGTCTCAGGCTAGGGCTGCAGCTCACCTGGAAGGCAGGCACTGATGCCACCAGTTCTGAGTGGGGTCACCTGGGGCCTCCCCAGGTGGAGCTCAGGACCGGGTGGTGGGCAGGCAAAGGGAAGGACATTCCAGCAGCAGGGTGGGGTCCAGCCAGGCCGTGTGCCTTGGCTACTGTGGGAGGAGCTGCTTGCCTTGTGCCCCCTCAGTGGGGCCTCGGGCCTGAGGCCGGGCCTGTGGGTAGTGGGGACCTGCACAGAGCTTGCGCCCAGCAGTTGCCGGGCATGTCTGGGTGGGGCCCTGCTGTCCCTGGCCCTCTGCTCACCCATCCTTCCTCCTCCAGTGGGGGACTTGCGGGACTTCGTGAGGAGCCACCTGGGGAACCCGGAGCTGCCGTTCCACCTGTGTGAGCTGCCCCGCGACCCGCTTGCGCACCCTGTCCTTCCTCCCTCCTCGGAGCTCCCCCAGAAACAGTGTTGGGACCAGGGGGTTGGGGAGGGCGCTGGCCTCCCTCGTAGGGCACCTGGGTGGTACGGGCAGGGGTCCCTGCAGGTGAGTCTGCCCCAGGTCACCCCCCTCACCCCCAAATCCTTTGCCCGGGTTTTTGCAGCAGCAGAGAGGGGCTGAGGGCTGAGGGCTCTTCCAAAGTAGGGCCTGGGTTCCCCCTGCCCTAGGCCTGCCTTCCCTGGGGCGAGAGGGCTGGGGCCTCCTCACACAGCCATCTCTCCACAGTCATCACTCCTCCAAAAACCACCCTGGATGACCACACGCTGACCCTCTTCCAGGTACTGGCTGCCTGGCCTGTTGCGGGGGGTGCTGCTGGGTCACCCGGAGGGTGAGGCCAATGTCAGGAGGACTGTGGCCTTGTGTCCTGCAGAAATTGGCCTGTAGGCAGTGTGGGGGAGGGGCCTTGGGGCAGGGCCACTGGGACCTGTCCTGAAAGGTCAGGGGTCGGAGGCCTCACTGCAGGTGGCCCGCTGCTGGGCAAGTGTGGCCCCAGGCGGCAGGGCTGCTGCCCGGCTGCCTCCTCCCCGGCCCTGCCTTCCCCCAGCCGTGCGCGGCCTCTGCCGGGAACGCAGAGCTGGAGCTGGGGCTGAGGCTGGGGCTGGGCCCTCCCGGCTAGCTGGCAGTGCTTCTGCCCGACCCCCTGTCGGCCCGGGAGCCCCGCGGAGGGTGAGGAGTGTTGGTCTGGCGCCCCGCTGGGCTGCCTTCCAGAACTGGAGGAATGTCCTGTCCCTTCGCCTGGGAGAGCAGCCTGGGGCCTCCCCAGCCCCTGGCCTAATGGTTTCCTCTTCAAAGTCTCCTCAGATATTTTAATCACTAACAGAGGCCAGCCCTTGTTAAGTGGCCCGCAGGCCCTGCAGAGGTCTGAGCTGGGGCTGCCACCGTTGTGGGGGAGATGGGACAAGACCGGGCAGAGAGCTGGATGCTCACCAAGGAAACAAGTCAGGGTGGGCGGGCCCCGGGCCCCCTTCTCAGCCCCCAGGAGCCCCAGAGGCCTCTTTCTCCATCCCCGCCCACCCTCCCTCAAAGGCCAGCCTGTTGATACAGTGGATTTGGAAGATGTTTTGGGATGAAGGGGGACCAGTGCCCAGACTGCCCCCGCTCCAATTAGGAGTCCTGGGGTGCTGCCTGTCCCGCCCACGCGGCCTGATTCCTGGTGACACTCTGCCCCCGGCTACCAGCAGCCGTCTCCTTTCATCTGTCAGCTCAGCCCAGAGCCGGGGGCCTCCGCGCGGGGTGGTGGAGTGGCGGCCCTGCCCGCCGATCAGAGAGCTGGCAGGGCTCGGAAGGAAGCCTCCTCCCTCACGGGGAGCGGGTGCGGAAGCCACTGGCTTTCATGTCCCTGGCAGGACCGCACTCTGCTGCTGGCTGCCCGGGAGGCTGCCTGGGGCCTGCCCTGTGCTCCAGAGAGTGACAGCTCAGGGCGGGTGTGGGGGACGGCAGCCCCGATGCCCTTTTTGGCTGCAGGATTATGAGTGTTTGATGGGAGAGGCTGGGGATGAGGACAAGGATGGGAGGGTGTGGGGGATGCAGTCAGTGGGCGCAGCAAACCTGCTTCCGGGGCCTCATCCCCTTCAGCGCCGGTGCTGCCCACCACCCGGCCCAGGACCCAAGCATCACCCTTGGTGGGTTCTGAAGACCGCCACAATCTGTGGGGACCCCCTCAGCCTGAGCAGACAAGTAGACCCTCTGTGCTGGTAGTCACACTGGTTTTCTGTGCTGTTCACTCACCACTGTTTGGTTGGGATCCCAGAGACACAGGCCAGTGGGGAGGGGGCTTCCAGCAGATGCTGAGGGGAGGCCAGGAGTTCGGGTTCAAGAGGAGCTGCCCCAAGGGGCCCTGAAGACTCCCATCTGGTGGGAGGGGCCTTCAAGGCTCCAAGCCCTGCAGCCCCCAGAAAGCCCAGCCCACCTGGTGGGCTTGGGCGAGGTCCCGTGAAATAGGAACATGCCGTCACTCAGGGTGCCGTGAGAGTGGTCCCAGCACCTGGTGGGTCCCCCGAGTCAGAGTCTGGCCACGCTGGGAGATGTGAGGCACTGTTGCCCCCTGGCCATCCCCCAGCTCCCGGTACCTCCAGGGCCCTAGGGCAGCCCCCACACACCCACGAGGCTTTGATCCCAGGTGTCACAATGGGGTTTTCAGAGCGTTCACAGCCCTTGTCTGTGTCCCTTGGTTTTGGCTGTGGTGTCAGCGTTCCTGGACCTGGCTTGGAGGCTTCCTCTTGTTAATACCCCATCTTGACTCTAAGAGCTCGGAGTTGGAGCCAAGAGCAGAGAAAACGCGTGCCCAGCTGGCAGCTGCTGTGGTCCTTTCACCAGAGGCTGGGGACATGAAGCCTTGTGCCATCGCTGCTGCCTTGGCCAGCTTTAGGGCTTTTAGCCATAGTCCTCCTCGGGTGCAGAAGTAGCTGGGGGGCAGGTTATGACGCTGGGGGCTCTGGTGCCATCTGCCGGCCTCTGCACCACAGTCCGGCCTCAGGACACCTTCAGGGGCATGTAGGGCTGTGTGACCCCCCTCATTCCGCACCTGTGCAGGTGGGGTCAGTCCCTGAGCAGAAACCCTTTCCGCCACCCCCCTATAGCTGGGGGCTTAGGAGAGGTGCAGCTTCTGGACCCCCAGGGTGGGTGTGGCACCCTGATGCAGCACCCACCTGGTGGGAGGGGCTTCATACTGGCCGAACTGGCTCTTCCCCATCAGGCCAGACCCAAGTCAAGTCAGGGAATCTGAGCGTGGCTTTCGGGCTCTTGGCTGGTGGACTCTCAGAGGCAGCAGATCTGGCTGGATCCTCTCAGTCCAGGATCCCAAAGCAACTTGGCTCCAAGAGTCCCCACTCCCCATGGCTGGCTCTTGGAGGCTGAGGGTCCCCCAACAGTACCCGTCTCTGTCTAGCTGCTCCTAGTGGATCTGGGTTCTTCAGCCTGAGGGTGCCCACCTGGCTGCCCCTGCAGACCCTCCCGCACTCCTCTTCAGGCAACATCGATGCGGGAGGGGAGGTGGAGTGGGGGCAGGGCCGGCTGGGCAAGGGCTGGTGGCCGCCCTGTGCCTCTCCTTCCCCATACCCCCGACCAGTGCAGGGCTGACCCATGGGCCTCCTGCTGTACCTGCTGGGGAGGGGCCGTCCAGGCCTAATGGCTGCCTTCAAAGTGTTAACTGTTCACCCCGGAACTGGGCAGCAGAGAGAAGGGAGGGACTAAAATGCCAGCACACACCTATGCTGGTGCTGGCCTTCACTGGGGTTGGTGCCAAAGGGGGAGCCCGCAAAGCTGGGCAGCGGGAGGGGCATGGTGAACAGCTTGTCTACAGGTGCAGGCCCCACGAGGCCACCACTGAAGTGAGGTGCAGCCAACCTGCCCCTCCTGCCGGCCCCTCCCCACAGTGCCCACCTGGCCCCTGAGCTCCCCTCTGCCCTCCGTGCAGGCAAACCTCTTCCCTGCTGCTGTCGTGCACTTTGGAGCTGAGGAGCCTACAGGTGGGTGGGGCCCCCACTCTGCTCACATCACCTCCACCGCCCGCCCTGGGCCCGGGTCCCTGGCTCATCAGCTGCCCCAGAGCAGGGGGCTTCCTTTGGGTGTGGGAGGGAGCCTTGTGGCCCCATACCCCCATACACTACTGGGCACTTAAGGCTGGGGCAGCCACGTCCCTGAGCAGGGCAGAACAGGGTGGCTGGGTGGGGCCCTCCGTGTCCTGAGGTTGGGCTGGCCCTCCTGCAGGCCTCTACCTGGAGCCCAGGCTGCTGGAACACACTGTTTCCCCATCTGCAGCCGATGTGCTGGTGGCCAGGTAAGTGACCACGTGGGGGGGGGGGCGGGCACTGCTGCAGCGCCTGCCATCCTGTGGCTCCACATTCATTCCATCCCCAGGTGCATGTCCAGGGCCTCCGCGACTCCACCCCCGCCGCCAGCCCCTGACCCTGCGCCCCAGCCAGCTGCTGAGGAGGGGGCAGTGGGGCCCCTTGAGCCCAGCCCCAGGGCGGCCCAACCCATGAGGAGGGATCTGGGCAAGGTGCCCAAGTGGCTGAAGCTGCCAGGTACTGTGGGGGGCAGCAGGGCAGGGAGGGGCTGCCGGGCAGCAGCCCAGGAGCCCCAGGTAACCTGGCACCTTTCAATTGCAGCCAGCAAGCGGTGAGAGCTGCCAGCCCAGAGGGCCCACTGCTGGCAACAGGAGGACCCTTCCCCACCCTGAGCGGGAATAAAGTCGAGCGCTTCTCCTCACCCTCCTGTGGCCTTTCTCCAGAAAAGGGCCCCACAGCCCTGTGCCCCAGCGCCCCCCGCCGATGCAAGCCTGTGAAGCTCCCAGCCACAGGCTTCTAGCTGCTCCTGACCCTGGGACCAGCCCGCCCTGCAGCCTGACTGGACCACATGTGGGCCCGGGGTCCCCTTGCTGCAGCTTTGCTCTTTAACGAGGGCACAGGTGTCCCCCTCTTGGCATCATTAATTCCCCCTCCTTCTCTGAGCACACAAGTGTGGGGAGAAGGGCCTTCAGACATTGCCTGCCTGGCTATGTCACAGACCCGGCCACCCTAGCCCCTGGCACAGAGAGGGGAGGAAGGCGGCCCCCACCCTGGAGGGGCAGGGCCTGGCCTGGGGTTTCCCGCCCCGCCCTCTCCATCTGAGGCACTTCAAAGTGGCTGTGGGGCATGGGTTCTGGCACTTGTCGCCAGCCTCTCCCTTCAGGTCTAATTACTTCCACATGCTCCCAGTGCTTTGAAGCCCAGAGACTCCCTGAGGGGCGGGGGAGAGGAAGGTGGGGAAGGTACAGGAAGGGGTCGAGTAGGCCAAATTAGGGATGGGGGGCTTGCCCCCAACCCATGCACTTGGTCCTCAGGGATGGGGGCTGAGGTTGCCCCGCAGGCCCTCGCCAGATCCTCTGGCAAGGCACCTCGCCAAGGCAGATGGGGTGGCTCTGTGTGGGGCAGCTGTTGTCCCACCTTGACGTCCCTCCCCAGCGGACCACGTGCTACAGCTCCGTCCCAATTCGGCCCAGACTCCTTTGGGTGTTTCCAGCCTGTGCACTGTCAGAAGTAGAGGGAGGCAGAGGTTGGGAGCTGGGGCCTGGAGACCCCTGAGCACCTGAGGGCAGGAAGTCCTCCCAGACCTGGCTTTGGCTTCTACCAGGTCCCCCCAAATCTCTGAGGTGGGCGTGGCCTGACCTGCCGTCCCTTGCATTGCCCAGGGCCTGGTGGCTGGTCTCCAGGTCTCTCCCACCCAAGTGTCCCCCACCAGCAGACCCTGCCCACACCGACACTCCCGCCCGCCTGCCAGCCAGGGGCAACCCCACAGCCAGGCAGCCCGTGGCAGCACCATGTCCAGGCCAGTGGCCACGTGTGCAAGGCTCCTGTTTCACAGCCCCTCTCATGCCCAAGGCAGGGCTCACACATGCTGTTTATTATTCTGTCCTTTCTCAGCTTTGCTTTTGTCCTACCAAGATGGATGGGGCAAGTCGGCTTTGAAGCAACTTGACTTTGGGTGATTAATGGCAACACGGAGGCTGGGCTGGGAGAGGCAGCTTTGGTTTACTGGTGTTGCTTTGTGAGAACAAATCTATAGCTCAGAGAAGCATCTTCTGAGCGAGGATCGCATGGCTAGGAGGTGACATGCCAGCTTTGATGTCGGGTGGCAGGGCTGCAGCTCTGCTGGTCTGTGGAAGACACAGTCTCTGCTGCTCCCTCGGCACCTGCTTCCCAAGGCCCCTCCCACAGCACAGGTGCTCACCATGGGCCGACCGCCCCACGGCAACCTCTGCTACGTCCAGGCCGTCGGGGGCAGAGAGGACATGAGGGACAAGAGCGCATTTGCTGGGACTGGCCCAGTTTCGGAGCTGGAGGAGCGCCTCGGATCAGCAGCCTCTTCCCTGTCTGAAGCCAGATGCCACAGCAGACACGTGGACACGGGGCTGGGCTGTGATGCAGGCAGGCAGGAGGCTGGAGTGAGGGCAGAAACACCTAGAAGTCCAGAAGCTGTGGGGGACAAGGGTTCAGCCTCACGGGCGCCAGCCACGGCCAAGCCCTGCTCCCGGGAGGGCTCCCCTACCCACCTACCAGCTGAGGCAGCACCTTCTCCAGCTGTTCCACGTCCACACCGGCCAGGTCCTCTGCCTGGGCCTGCCGTATGCTGCGGATGGCCGCTTCTGCCGTGAGGAGGGAAGTGAGGGGTGCAGAAGGCTGGGGGGTTTGAATCCCAGTACCCCAGGCCTCAGCCCCAGCGGCCTCCCGCCCCTGCTGGCTGGCAGCTCAGAAGTCCGAGGTTGTGGCCCCTGAAACACGGAACTTTCCAGGGACACAGAACCTAAAGGGTGCTGTGGAGAAATGTGTGACTTGGTTTCCCCACTGGTAAATAAAATGCAGAAGGGACAAGTGGTCGGGAAGGCCGGGTTCCTCAGCTCACCCAAGACGAAGATCTTCAACAACTCCGCCATGAGCAGCAGCGCGTCCCCGCCAACTGCAAGGTGGAGATGCGCAGGTCACGGGGCTGCACTCTGCTGTCAATCTGGCCAGGGGCTGCAGGCTCCTCCAAACCCCCACTCCTGACCTGGCTCCTCCTCGTCCCACGATGACCCCCACAGAGCGGGCAGCACCGCCCTGCCCACCCCCCCTCCCGCCAGCATCCCTGCACTTACACACCTTTGGTTTTGTCGTCTTTGAAGTGCAGGTGCAGCAGCTTGCTCACCAGTTCCTGGGGAGACAGCAGGACTCAGAGGCTCACTGCCCCCGTCCCCACCCAAATGCTGCAGACCCCTCAGGGTTTTCGTGCTGGGTGGGAAGGGGTTGCGATTTCTGACCTGAAATGCCTTCTGTTCTCTGGAGCCTCTCCCAGGGTGGGGGCCCAGGCGGTGGGAGAAACCTCCCTGTGGATGGCTCCAGGACCAGAAATGAGATATGTGGCAGCAGGTGGGAGCAGTCCAGGTGCCAGCCCGCCCTTCCCTGGGACTCGTTTTCCTGGAGTCTAGGGGAGTCTGGTGCTCCCACCCCTGGGGCCAAGACACCCTCCCTGTGAGGGACTGAATGTGGCTGCTCCCATGCTGGGCGCCTTCACAGGTCTGTCCATGCCACCAATACCACCTGGTTTGTGCCAGACCCTGCTCTAGGTGCCAGGCCAGCTCCATCCGTGGTCCCACCCAGGAGAGATGAAGGAAGGAGTCTTCCTATAATGAGATGGGTGTTGTGAAGACCACAGCGCTGGGCAGGGACCTGGCTGCTCGGTCAGTGGGTGGTGGGGGTGAAGGACAGAGCCTGGGGGGTCTGCAGGACTTCCTGACAGACATGAATAGGACACGGGTGGGTCCAGGCCAAGACTCACCAAGGCACGGGCTTGAGCCCCCAAAAGATGGAGCCACTCCACAAACACAGGGGCTATGGGTGGAGATGGATTCTGGGGACCAGGGACTCAGGAGCTCAACTTGGGACACGTTTGAGTGAAGGACATGCATCAGGTGCCCAAACAAAGCAGCCGGGTGGGTGGCTGGAGTTGAGGGGCCTGCTCGAAGGCTGGAGCTGGTGATGAGGATTTGGGAGGTGCCAGCACGTGGATGGACCATGAAAGGCCGACCAAGGCAGGAGCCAGCAGAGTCTGGGGAGGCAGGAGGACAGCAGCAGCGGGCGAACTCAGAAACAAAATGGAGTGTCCTGCAGGGAAGGTGAGCTGGGGACCAGCCAGGCCTCCAGCTGTAGCCATGGGAGGTCGCACGGCTTCGCCTGTGCAACTCAGCAAAGTTCAGGAGCAGAGCAAGTGGACACCGATGGGGCGCAGGCTCAGAAGGCTAAGAACTTACCACCAGTCACCAGGGGAAGCTGCAGCCGCCGCCTGGCCCTCCCAGCAGTGGCTGCGTGAGCTTGGTGCCACCTGCTGGTCCTTTTTGCTGCTTACCAGGAAGGTACCAGGAATGGCCCAGAAGGCTCTACTGCCCCACCTGCTCCCAGTCCCCCAGGAAGAGCTACCTAAGGGGGTCAGCACCAACTGGGAGTGGCAGTTCCCAAACAAACAGGTGACCTGAACTCGGCAGGATGGGAACTGGGATGAGTTCAGCCTTTGTCCCACAACATGTTGGCACCACAGCCCCTCCCTGCATCACCCTCCTCCAGGACAGCCCTGTGCGGCTCTGACCGCGGCTCTGGCCAGAGCCCATGGTACGAGGACTGGAGAGCTGTCCAGGTCGACATGATGACGGCCAAGCCCTGTGCTCCCCTCTCCAGCTGTTATAATGGGGGCGGGCGGGGGGGGGGCGTGTTCTTGCAACCACCATGCCAGATCACCCCAGCCTCAATGACTTTCCCTTTTAGGTGATTAATTCTTTCTGGGCTAGGACAGAGTCACGATCCTGTGTGATAAAGAGGAAGAGGGGACTGAGGCAGCAGGTGAACCCGAGAGAAGTCCCCATGCCTCTGCAAGGCTGACAACCCCACTGGGGGCTGGAGGGACAAAGAAGTGCCCACAAGGGGCTGAGAGCCTGCTTCCCTTTCCAGGTCACAAAAGGCCCACGGGCCTTCCCGGCACACCGTTCTGATTCAAGGCATCAGTGGCGCCTAACTTTAGGACAGAGCAGGGATTGGCAAGCTGCAGCTCGCGAGCCTCATCTGGGTATGTTCCGTCTCAAAAGTTTGCAGACTCCTGAAAGAGGCAATCCTGTCCCTCACAATTTAAAAATTATTCGAGAGCCATAAATATATTTTTACATAATCACCATTATGTGACTATCCTTTTAAAATTTTATAAATGAAACTATGAGTTTTATTTTCATTTTCAATTTTATTTCAGAGCCTGTGGCTCTGAGCCACAGTTTGCTGACCCCTGGCGGCTCTTCTAGCTCAAAAGTTTGCTGACCCCTAGGATAGCGCAACAAAGCCAGACTCAGAAACTGGTCGCAGCCTCAGGTGTGGGAGCCAACGGACCTGCTAGCACCCAGGGCAGCCCTCACCACAGGCAGAGCAAAGGGTGACACCGCAGACCTGCTTCGTTTCTCCCCTGGGAGTGGGGACAGTACTACCTTCTCCTCGGGCGGGTGAGCATTAAATGGGCTGCTCTATGTCAAGTGCATAGAACAGTGCCTGACTGCGCCAGGGGTGTCACTAAAAGGACTTGCGGGGCCCCACGCACGCCAGACCGAACCTAGACAAACGTGCTATCCCGAAACGCAACTTCAGCTGGGCTTCAACTTGGCTCCGATGAGGCACAAAGCACAGGGCTCGCGTGATAGGGGACAGGCCAAAGGAAACTTTAGCCTATGCGGCGATGTGACCTGTCAGCGAGCTGGGCGGAGCTGTGCCCTAAGCCAGGCGGTTTAGGGAAAAGTACCCCCGGATCGGGGGGGGCGGGGCCGGCGAGCCCAGGCTCCTCTCTGGGCGCCCCCTGCATTTCCGCCGTCGCGGCGCCCACCTCTGCCCAGTTTCTGCAGACCCCCTCCCTCTTGCCCCAGACCACTCGACCTTCTGCCACCTGGAGGGCGAAGGACGCGCGGGGTGGGGTCGTGGCCGCATTCTGGGAATGGGCCCGCCCTAGAAGGCGCGCGCGCGCAGCGCCGGGGCTGGCTCAAGGCCCACACGTGGGTCACGCGTGGGGTCCGGCCGCAGTATCCCCACCACCACTACCTCCCTCCCCCGCGTCGCCCGCTCTCTCACTTTCCGGAAGCCGGAGCTGGTCGCCTCCATGACCGGCGCCGCGACTCGCGCCCTCCAGAGCCCCGCCCCCCTGCCAATGAGCCCTGAGCGCGCCTTTCCAGGCCCGCCCCCGATCCCCCAGCCAATCACCCCGGAGCACGCCCTCCGAGGCCGCGCTCCGCTCCCTCCCTCGCCCCCTTGGGCCCGGATAGTGCTGCCTCTGCTCTACCGGCTGGTGGCCCGCAGCGCGTGCCGGGTTCTCAACCTCGTTAGCCCGCGGCGGGCGCCCCTCCTCCGCAAAGCCTCCTGGGAGTTGTAGTTTCCGCCAGCCTTTCCCGGCGCTCCCTGCTCTTCCTGGATATTGAGGCACCGCGGCCGCCAGGCACACCGCGGGGAGCAGGTGTCGGTGGGGCGAGTACTGGGGCCCCGGGGGTACTAGTGATGCCTGAACCGGCCCCGCTGCGGGTAGCCCCGGCCCGTAGGGGCCCTCGATCCCGCTTCGGCCCCATGCGCGGGCGGTCCCTTGGCCACCCTCGCCCTCCTGGGGCCTCCCGCGTGTAGAAACAACTCAGTTTGCTGTTCGTTCCTCGGCTGCGGAGGTCGGACCTGCGGAGGTCGTTGAGCCCCACACTGAGCTGCTAGGGGTCCCTGTCGGCCCCCCGGGGAGAAGGCCTGCCCTACTGCCAGCAGGGAGAGCAGCCCTGCAGCGGGGCAAGCAGGCCTCTTCACCCAGCTTCGGCTTCCCGCCCCGCTGGCTGGCGCACGGTGAGGCCTGGCTCTAGGAGCGTGCGGAGGCAGCCCTGCTGGCACCCCAGGGACATGGAGGAAGTCCGGCGCTCCTACAGCCGGCTGTGCAAGGAGAGTGGGGCCGAACCCCAGGAGACTGTCCTGCAGCGACTGCAGGAGCTACCACGGGGCCGGCTGGACCTGGCCACGCAGAGCCTGACCGCCGACACCTGTAGGGCCCTGGGCAAGCTGCTGCAGAAGGAGGCTCTTGTGACTGAGCTCGTCCTGAGCGACTGCATGCTGAGTGAGGAAGGTGGGCACCGCGGGCGGCTGGGGCCAGGACCGCCCTTGCAACCTCAGAGTCGGGGCTGGGGTCAAGCCCTTTGCCTCAGGGCAGCCTTCCCTTGCGTTGCCTGCCCCCTGCTCCAATGCTGCTCCATTGCACCTAGCTCTTTGGGCTGTCCCCCCTTGTGTTCTGTAGTAATGGCAAGCAGCAGGGTCCCTCGAAACCTGGAAGCAGAGGGCAATTTTTCTTTGTAACAGAGAAGCCCTAGCATCCCACCTTAGGAGAGTCACACTGTGCTCTGGCCACCAGGGGCAGAGAGTGACTGTCCTGCCCTCTCACAGGGGCCACACTGTTGCTCCAGGGGCTGTGCGCCAACACTGTTCTTCAGTTTTTGGATCTAAAGGTGAGGGGACTGCCTTTGGGCATGCCACCTGAGGGGAGGGAAGCCATGTGGTCTGGGCGGTAGGTAGCCAGAGACACGGTCTGTAAATGCTGTCGGCACACAGGACTCCGTGCCGTTTCCTGGTGGCCTCATGCTTGTGTGTAGGTGTCTGGAGGGTGCGAATATGAGTTCCAGAGTGTTCCCATAAACGCACTGACAGAGCCCACACCAGGAGGCTCCCTGTGCTCAGGAAAGGAAGCGTTTGAAAGGAGCCACACCTTCCACTCAGAGGTTGTGCTTGGCCTTGACCCAACCCAACCAGGGACCTTCAGGGGGTACACAAGCCGGAACCCAGCCAGGACAATATGCCTGCTCTGTCTCTTCCTGTCTTAGGGCAATAACCTTCGGGCCGCAGGGGCCGAGGCTCTAGGAAGACTCCTCCGACAGAACAAGTCCATTCAGAAGTAAGGTGGCATTCGCCCCACCCTCCCCCAACCACCTCTTTCTCTGCAGGTTCAGGGTTGGCCCCAGAGGACAGGGCTCTGCAACCCAAGAGTTCATTCCTTCATTCCTTCGGGCCAGTGGCCTGTTTTCCATCTGTCCATCTGCGGGGAGTGGGCGGATACAAGTTACTCCCGGGACTCCAGACACCCCAGGCCTGCGTCCCTCCTCAAGCCCCCCTGGACCCATGGGAGCAGGGTGCTCCTTGGGCCATGCAGCTCACGTCCGCCCTTCCCGCAGCCTCACCCTGGAGTGGAACAACCTGGGCACGTGGGAAGATGCCTTTGCCACCTTCTGCGGGGCCCTGGCCGCCAACGGCACACTGCGGCAGCTGGACCTACGCAACAACCAGATCAGTCACAAGGGCGCAGAGGAGCTGGCCCTGGCCCTGAAGAGCAACACCAGCCTCCAGCAGCTGGGTGCGGCCCCGCAGACCACTGTCTGGCTCCCCAAAATGAGGGCTGAGGGTGGGCGTGGGGAGCAGAGCCAGGCAGGCTCCTGCTCTGTGGGCAATTCCCCCAGGGAAGCTTCTGGGCTGGGCCTGCACCCCCAGGTGCCTTCTGTCTGGTGACAACAGGTTTCCTTCCAGACCTGCGCTGGAACAACATTGGCCTCCTGGGCGGCCGGGCCTTGGTGAGCTGTCTGCCGAGCAACAGAACCCTGTGGAGGCTGGAGCTGGCTGGGAACAGCGTCCCCAGCGATGTCCTCAGAGCCGTGGGTAAGGGTGCACCGTTTGGAGCGGGTCATGCGTAAAGCTGGAGGCCCAGCCTCCAAGGGACATGCAGACGCATCCTGATGGCAGCCTGAATTAGAAATGGAGGAAGAGGAAGGGCAAGAGCTCACGGAAGGAGAGGCGGCAGCGGGCTGCCGCAGCGCTCACTGTCCAGGGCCGCCCCTTGCATTCCTGACACCTGCGCATTCAGTCCTTAGATCTCCTGAGGTGGGTGGTGGGAGGTCACCCATTTCACAGATGAGGAAGCTGAGGTAGTGTGGCTTGGGGCCTTGCCCTGATGGCTGTGCCACTGCCTCGGGTGGCATCTGCCCCCGTCACACCTGAGTTTGTGGCCATGCCCGTGAGTGGGGCCACCAGGTCCAAGCCGCAGCCTGCACGGTCCCCTCCTGTCCATGACCTGGAAACCTCAGCCCCAGCCTGGCAAAACACTGCCACTCCCTGTGGCTCCTCATCCTGCCAGCAGTGCCAGCCACCCGAGGGTCCAAGCTTTGGCTGGAATTCTGCACCAGTCACCACCTCCCTTTGGGTCTACCTGACATGTGTCATCTCCAGCTTCTCCGTTCTTGGCCTGCCTCTGGGTCACCCCAGCTGTTGTAATCTCCTGACTTCACAGCAGCCTCTGGCTGGTCCCGTTCCAGATGCTGCCTGGATCTTTACAGAACACAGGAACTAAACACACATTCACCTATTAAAAGTCATATAGCCACCTTCGACCTTTGGGATGAAGCCCAAATGCCCCTCTCCATGTGTGTGGCCTCGGCACCTGCTGCCTCCCAGGCTCCTGGCCCCACTGTTGCCCCCACCCCACACCCGCTGAAGGCTTTCACCCCCTAGTGCACTGGCCGTCTGCCGGATTTGTGGATGAGACACTACCTCGTACAGTCCTGATTCCCAGACAGCTGGCTCCTGAGCTCGGGGCAGGGCTGGCTGTTGGCCACTCCCGAGGCTGAGCAGCCCCGAGTGGGTAACTCAGCTCATTCTGACAGAGCAAGCCATGGATCACACCCAGGAGCGGGAGGCCACCTTCCGGGAGAACCAGGCCCGCACCCGCGTGCTCAGCAAGGAGGTGAGGCACCTCCAGGAAGAGAAGTCCAAGCAGGTGAGAACAGGGCCGCCTCTGGCCACAGCACCTCACACCAGCCCCTCCCTGGCTGCGTGAACAAAGGGCCCCCCCTAGGCCACTGTGTCATGGCCGCCTTCCCTTTCTCTGGGCCCTTGACCCTCTCCAAGTGGCTGACACCCAGGCCCAGGTGGTGGTCTCTTGGTCTGACCCCTTCCAGCCAGGCAGGACAGGCTTTCCCTGGGGGCCTCCGGGCCTCCGTGTGCAGGAGCCATCCTCCCTTGCTGTCCTGCCGCCACGGAGGGCCTCTGCTCGCCTTCCTTCCCAGCGGGAGCAGGCAGACTCTGGGCCCTGACAGAGCTCTGGCTTTCTCTGTCCCCAGTTTCTGGACTTGATGGAGACGATTGATAAGCAACGAGAGGAGATGGCAAGAAGCACCCGGTAAGCTTGGTCCCAGGGCCGTGGGAGGCGGGGCTGGGGTTGGGTTGGAGGACCCAGGGTTTGGGTCCTCGCTCCAGCCTTGGGGGCGATCTGACCTGAGCCTTGTCACTTGCCCACAGATGAGGTCACAGCATGTGCTTTCTGAGGAAGTTGGCTAGAGGTTCCAGGGAGCACAGAGCACCTCCTCAGCCCAGTGCTTGGAGCGTGGGAGGAAGGGCAGCTGCCGCCAGGGCCGGGGGCCGGGAGGGCTCTGGGGCTTGGGTTTGTCTGACCCTCCTCTCTGCCCACAGGACATCGGCAGCACGTGTGGGGCAGCTTCAGGAAGCCCTGAATGAGAGGCAGTCCATCATCAATGCCCTCAAGGCCAAGTGAGTGGATGGGGGGCAGGAAGTGGGCAGGGCAGCTTCACAACACTTTAGAGACATGCCCACGGGACAAAGGGGTGGTACAGACGAGGGCTCGAGTCCTCATGTACAAGGTAAAGGTGGGAAATAGCTGCATGAGAACCCTGGAAGGCGTCTTGGAGCAGGTAAGCGCTAGCTGGGGTGAGTAGCGGCCTGGCAAGAATGAGAACAGGAGGCCTTTGCAAGGCTGTGGTGGGGCTGATGGAGGGGCCGGGGTGGGGCTGGCTCCTCCTTGCAGACTGCAGATGGCCGAGGCTGCTCTGGCTTTGTCGGAGCAGAAGGCCCAGGACCTGGGGGAGCTTCTGGCCACCGCAGAGCAGGAGCATTGGAGCCTGGTACAGAGGCAGGCCAAGGAGCGCAGACTGGAGCAGCAGGTGGGCAGGCAACGGGGCGGGCGCTGAGCGGGCAGGCAGTGCACAGTGGCTGGTGACTGGTGGTGCCCTTCCCCTTCTCACCCTTAGGAAGCTGCCGAGCGGGAGTCTAAGCTGCTCAGAGACTTGTCTGCTGCCAATGAAAAGAACCTGCTTCTGCAAAACGAGGTGTGGAGGTGCAAGGCCAGGCCCCCGGGAGCCCGGGGCGGGCACAGGCTAGGCCAAACCTTCCCTCCCATGTTGTGGGCTTCCAGGTGGACGAGCTGGAGCGGAAGGTGAAGTCACAGCAGGACCAGCTGTTCCTGACCAGGCAGGAGCTGACCAACACGTCGGCCGAGCTGAAAATGCGGGCCATCCAAGCTGAAGGTATGTACCAAGAGGACTGGGGTCAGGAGCCCACGGTCTGGGGTGGGTGGGGGCCTTGGAATGGTGCACCCCCAGAGTATCCCCTTCACACTTTCCCCTGGGCTTCCAGAGCGCCTGGAACTGGAGAAGAAGAGGTCTCGGCAGAGCCTGGAGGACTCGGAGCATCTGCGCTTCAAGGAGGTGCCTCGTTAATGGTGTCATGTGGCCTCTTTCTCCCTCCACTGTCCGCCTGGGGCCTGCAGATGCCTCAGTGTGGCCTGGTGTCCCCAAAGCATACCCCTGGCCCGGCTCTGCTCGCCAGCTTTGGGGTTTTGCTGGGTAGTGGTTCTCCACCAGCCCCAGCAGATGCCAGACCCAGAACCTGACCAGACTCTAGAAGGGACCCCAACTGCTCTGGGGCCACAACACAGGAGGCCGTGTGCTCCATACCGCCTGGGGCATGGTGCTGGGACATGCCCTCCATCTCCACTTCCTATGAAGCCACTTGGGGCAGCCCCTTGAAAGGAACAGGGTCCCTAAGATTGGCCTGCCTTCCAGGGTGGGGAGCCCACAGGGGAGGCTGGGGAGCCAGCCTAATAGCCCTGCTCCCACCTTGTACCTGGCCAGGTGGAGCATATGACTCGCCATCTGGAGGAGACCGAGAGGGCCATGCAGGAGAGAGCGCAGAGGCTGGAGGCCGCGCGGCTGTCCCTAGAGAAGGTGCGCACATGCTGTGCTGGACACCCCGTGTCAGCCTTATCAGGCACCCTTGGGGACTCACCCACCAATGTCCCCGTGAGACCAGAGGGACTTAGTAAGGTGTCACGGGGGCTCCCCTCACCATGGACACCTCGCCTAGTGAGCAAAGCCTCAGGAGGCTGGTGGAGGGGCCAGAGGCACGTGCCCAGTGGGTTGCTGTCTGTGGTGCAGGAGCTGAGCCGAGTGAAGGCTGTGGCGCTCACTGAGCGTGGCCAGGCTGAGGAGGAGCTCATCAAGGCCAAGAACCAAGTCCGACTGGAGGAGGTGAGCCCAGCCATGACCATGCAAGGACCCAGCCCGCTGCCCACAGTGCCCACCAGTGGAGCCTGAGGGGCTGGTGTGAGCTGCCCCGCTGGCTCTGTAGGGGGAGATGGGGGTCGGGGAGACTAGGGGACAGGAGTGCAGGGGGTAGGGAAGAGTCACAGCAGGACACTTGTCCCGTAGGTACAGCTCCCCACAAAGCCACTGTCGTCCAGCCCTGAGCTGGGGGAAAAGGGTTGGCCATCTACCCCAGAGGGCAGGATGGAGTCCTCCTGGGAGAAGGGGGAGGGGAGCCAGGAAGGAATGCCCCTGCCAGGCTCATGTAAGGTGAGCCCGGTCAGAACAATAAACATAGTGACTGGAGCAAAGGTGCGGTTTCCCCGTTGCAAATGAAAGCTCCCCTGGGTCCGAGGAGGTCACCCCTCCTCCTCATGGCCACTGCACACCTTAGCTCTGGGCCACACCTTGTAGCCCCTGCTGCTTACCAGCCCCTCTGTACACCCACAGCAGCAGCGCCTGGGTCACCTGGAGGAGAAGCTGCGGTTGCTGGCACAGGCGCGGGATGAGGCACAGAGCACCTGCCTGCAGCAGAGGGAGGCGGTGGCTGAGGCCCAGGCGCGGGCCAGTCAGCTTGGCCTGCAGGTGGAGGGCCTGAGGCGGCGGCTGGAGGAGCTGCAGCAGGTACTGGGACTTTGAGGTCCCCTGGGGTGCCCATGGCGCCCAGCGGACACCTCACTGACCATGCCTGGCAGGAGCTGAGTAACAAGGACCAAGAAAAGGTGGCTGAGGTGACCAGGGTGCGGGTGGAGCTTCAGGAGCAGAATGGCCGCCTGCAGGCCGAGCTGGCAGCCCAGGAAGCATTGAAAGAGAAGGTGGCAGCCTTGGCGCGCCAGCTGAAAGGTAAGCCGAGCCCCGAGCCTCCCCGTGCCGCCTGTGTGGCACCTTGGTGGGTTATCCAGCGGGATGCTGGGCTGGAGCTGAACCTGGGTTTCAGAGGCACTGGCATGAGCAGCTGGGTGTGTCTGCATCCCAGTGACCCCACGCAAGCCCCACCTGGCCTCTCCGCGGTCATCTGCAGTGCCCAGTGTCCAGACAGCACACCGCCCTTCCTCACTGCACTTCCTCCTCTGCAGTGATCGCAAGTGACCACCGGGAGGCGCTGCTGGACAGGGAGAGTGAGAACGCCTCTCTTCGGGAGAAGCTGCGGCTGAAGGAGGCGGAGATGGCCAGGATTCGGGATGAGGAGGCCCAGAGGGCCAGCTTCCTGCAAAATGCTGTCCTGGCTTACGTTCAGGGGTCCCCACTGAGGACTTCGAGCCCTCAAAAGTGAGGGGAGGCATAGGGACTTCAGGAGTGGCATGAGGGTGGCTCTCAGGGACAGGCTGTCGAGGGTGTGCTTGGGCAGGGTGACAGCTGGTGACTCGGAAATCAGTGCCAAGATGGATTGGGAGTGGTTCTGCTGCAGCTCACCAGCTGTGCCTAACCGGGTGGGCGCAGAGCCCGGGTGGGCAAGAGGGCTGGAGTGGCCAGTGCCTCAGACACTGATGCGCTTGAGAAAATGAGCCCATGACGAATGGAAATTGGGGGACGCGCAGCCTGAGCCATCCCAGCCCCTCGCCCCGTGTTTCACAACCACCTTTTACAATGTAACCATGAAGGCAGCAGACACCGACCGCTCACGGGGGTGTTTTGAAATACAGAACTTTTGCACTTTGTGATACATACTTGAGTGTGCCTTTCTTCTACATCAGCCTGGCTCCCAGCCACTGCAGTGTCTCAGGAGACCCTCTGCCGGGCCCTGCAGGAAAGACCACCCCCCCAGGGTGTGGCTGGGTCCCCCCTCCTAATGCACTGCTGCCAGGGAGGGACAGTAGAGCTGCTGCAGCAGACAGGGGGTGCAGGGGAGACAGTAGGCCAGGGCTGCCCACCTTGGGAGTACTCTGGTGACTGCAAACTGGAGTTTTCACCACCTGTCCCCTGGCCAGAGGGTGCGTGGGCCTCCGCTCCTACCCCGGTGGGCCCTGGGAGAGGTTTTCCTAGAAGGAACCACGTGCACACAGACCACCCAACCCATGTGCAGGTGGGTGGGAATCGCCTGCACTGCCCCTTGGCGGGGATCACAGGGGCCTCAGGGAGCCCCCGTGCACCGAGCCCTGCGTCTAACCAGAGCGACGCGCACCCCCCCCCCCCCCCGCCGCCCCCAGGACTCGGGACAGGCTGGGGGTGTGTGCACCGGGTCCTGCCTCCTTCAGATTTCGCCGGAAAGCCCGCGCCCCTCGCCGGCCGCGCTCGGCTGTCTCCGCTCCCGGCGCTCGGCGGTGCTCGGCTGTCTCCGGCCGCTCGGCTTGGCGCTCGGCTCAGGTCCGCGGCCGCTGCGGCGCGGGCATTTCTCCGCAGCTCGGCTCGCGGCCGCGCCCGCCCGGCCCGCGCCCATGCAGGCCATCAAATGCGTGGTGGTCGGCGACGGGTGAGTGCGCGGGGCGGAGCTGCGGAGCTGCGGGCCGAGGCGGAGGCGGCCCCGAGGACCCTGGCTGGGCCGGGCGCGCGGCTCCGGGGCGCGGCCGGCCAGACGGGCGGCGCGCGTGGCCCAGGAGGGCGCGGTGGGGCGAGGTCCCGGCCGGCCGCGGGGCCAGGCCTCCGGCCCCGGCCCACCCGATGCTGCCCGGCCCCTCGCCGGCCGGCGCCCGCCGGGCGTCCCAGTGGGTGGGGCCAAGCCCCGTACCTGGGCAGGACCCTCGGCTGAGCCCTCCCTCCCCTGCCGTCCTCCGCGCGGCGGGAACTCCGCCTGGGGCTCCGAGGCAGCGCGCCCCGCCCCGCCCGCACCCACCCCCTCGCCGCCCCGGTCGGCCCGCCCGCGCGGGTCGCCCTCCCCCAGCCCGAGGTGGAGGCGGACCTGCTGCGCCGGGAGCCCTGTGCCCACCCAGAACCCCTAACTTGGCCTGTGGCTCATGGGAGGGGGCCGTCCTCGCTGGGCAGAGGGGCCGAAGCAGCGCGGCTTGCCTTCCGTCCACAGCGCCGTGGGGAAGACCTGCCTGCTGATCAGCTACACGACCAACGCCTTCCCGGGAGAGTACATCCCCACCGTGTGAGCGGGGCTGGCGGGCGGCACTGCACACGGGCTCCCCTGGGCTGGGCCTCCGGGTGGTTCCAGTTCCGCGCGGGCCTGCGAGCCCCAGGCTTAGGCTGGCCCTTCCCGCTCTGCCCCTGCAGTTTTGACAACTACTCTGCGAATGTGATGGTGGACGGAAAGCCGGTGAACCTGGGGCTGTGGGACACCGCTGGGCAGGAGGACTACGACCGGCTGCGGCCGCTTTCCTATCCCCAAACTGTAGGTGACGACGGGGCCAGCTGGGGGGCTCAGGTGGGGGCCCTGAGGTCCTGACGGGGGTGAACAGGGGCCCTTTGGAGCCTCCTTGACCACTCCCACTCGGGCCGCTCCCTTCCTCCCAAGGACGTCTTCCTCATCTGCTTCTCCTTGGTGAGCCCGGCCTCCTTTGAGAATGTTCGAGCCAAGGTAGGGCAGGGCTGGGGGCGCGGGCTGAACGCGGGGTGTGTGGGGGGGGCTGTCCAGAGGACTCGCCCTGACAGGGCAGGGTCTCTGGGGTCTCTGGCCTGAAGCCTATACACAGGCAAATTGGCCTTTGGAGGCGCACGGACTGTGTGCTTGGTGTGTGTGGGGGTGCGCAGATGGCCCAGAGGGGTGACGAGGGGGCAGGGTTGGGGCAGGGATGGTGAACAAGACTCTCAGAGAAGGGCGGGGTTCTGGCTGGGAGATCTTGATAGGCCGCGAAGCTTCCTGGCTGGGAATTTTTATCCCCGCCCAAAGCAAGCCAAAAGGGCTAAGTGTGCACCGAAAGGCGGTGAGGAGCCATGGCCTGCGCTGGGCCAGGCCGGGGAGAAGCCTCTGAGGGGTAGGGGTCACAGCCTCTGTCCCCACAGTGGTACCCAGAGGTGCGGCACCACTGCCCCCACACACCCATCCTTCTGGTGGGCACCAAGCTGGACCTCCGTGACGACAAGGACGCCATCGAACGGCTTTGGGACAAGAAGCTGGCGCCCATCACATACCCTCAGGGCCTGGCCATGGCCCGGGAGATCGGTGAGTGGGTTCCACCAGGCCTGCCAGTGGCAGAGAAATGGCGACAATGGAGGTGTGCTCTGGGGGAGGGGGGGACACCAGGCTGCCCCTGCTGCCCCCACCTGCCGTGACCCCCCACTCATGCCCTGCCCCCTTGCCGGGCCCTCCCTCACTGTCCCCAGGGTCCGTCAAGTACCTGGAGTGCTCGGCCCTGACTCAGCGGGGCCTGAAGACAGTGTTTGACGAGGCCATCCGGGCTGTGCTCTGCCCACCCCCCGTGAAAAAGCCAGGAAAGAAGTGCACGGTCTTCTAGAGCCCGTGCTCGGGGGGCAGCCTCGGGGGGCAGCCCCGCCCCCTTCCCCCGTGTTGCTGTTGTGTTTAGTGTCCAGTGTCCCGGAGTCCGCTGTGGGGAGTGGTTGGGGTGGGGAGGGGCAAGAAGCATGGGGCTGGGCTGGGGCAGTGGGGTCCTGGCCACTCTCCCCCCCTTTCCGGGGGCTGGGCTCCTGCCTTCCCTGACCCCCACAGGAGGCCAAGAGGGAGCAGGGTCTCCCTCAGGCTGCAGGGGTGGGTCCCGGGCAGCCCCAGGATGGGCTTCCCCAATGGGGGAGGGGGGGAGGGTTCTGTCCATGAGCCCCAGATGAGGCAGCCCTTTCTTATTTTATACAATAAACATTCTCCACCAACACCTCCTGCCTGCTGGTCCATGCCTGCCCCTAAGTACCCCCCCCAGCCATGGGTCCAGAGCGGGTGAGCTCGACTCCACACCCTGGACAATGGGGAAGAAAAGAGCTTGCTGAGTTGTCTCTGTCTCCCAAGGAGGTGACCAGATTGAAGTGAGAGAAAGTGTATTTAGCCTCTTCTGGACAAAGAAACCCCCTGTGCTGACTGCCGGCCTCTGGGAGGGGCACACAGGGTGGGGTGGGCTCTGCTTTAGCACTCCCAGGTATGATGGGCGACAGTCGACAGTCAGCAGTCCGGTCCCTTGGAGCTGTTTGGGCAGCCACCCCCGCAGTTCCCCCACCCTCCCAGGCTTGGGGACACAGAGGAGTATTCAGGTAGAAAATCGGGGAAAGGCATCCAGGCAGGACCAGTGTAGACCAAGGTGTGGAGGTCAGGACAAACGTGGTGTGGACAGGAGAGAGAGCAGAAGAGCAAGTGGGCAGCCTGGCATTGCTGAAGTCAGAAACAGTCGGGGATCAGCCTGGGAGGGTCCAGCTGCCACAGTCCAGGGACTTGCCCCAAGGCCACAGGACACCCCCCAGACAGCCGTGATCAGGAGGGCCATTCTCTCTTGGCTCTCCCTTGTGGCTGGGTAGAGCCAACTGCTCAATTTTCAGGAATTTTGTTAGCCAGTTGTTAAAGAGCCATCATTAATAATTATATAAACTTACAATTAGTTGTATTAGAAACAAAGTTAACAAAATATATGACTTTCTAATTTGTGTACGTTACTATTATTTATGCTCTTGGGGTTACTTACACCCACTGTATCTGCTGAGGAAACCACAGAAGCAGGGAGACTGCACATGTCCTCCCCAGCTTTGCCCTCAATGACGTCAAATTGGTGGGAGCATTTACACCGTGGAAATGGGAAAATTCTACAACCAGGGCTTGATTAATTGTCTAGACTTAAAGTGATGGAGAAGTGTGCCATGCTTGTTGTAACACTGAATAACCCAAAAAGCTGAGGAAATGCCCCCGATATTTGAGAACTGTCATCTGATTCAGCAAAGGTGTTGCTCAAGTCACTGACAAATTAATGAAGTTCCAACACACCTCCCCCTTGTTTCACTTTTGTTCCTCGTTAACTGTAAGGACTGTCGACCCACATTCATGTCAGAATTCCAGCCCCAGAGCTGCTCATTAAAAACTCCACTGCTTCCCGCCCAGAGGCCTCTGGACAGGGCCAAAGGCCCGTCCTCGGTCAAATTCACCTCCCTCCTCGGGAGCTGGTCTTCTGGCAAGTCCCACCTCCCAGCCCCCGCCAGAAAGTCGGCCAGGTGTGAAAATCTCAGGCATGGGAGCCAGGGTGCCACCTGGCCTGGGACATGAGTTGAGTGGGTGCCTCCCCACCTGGAACTCACTTCTACACCCAGCCCTGAGCTCTGCCTCTTCTGGCCCCTTGCTGGCAGCCTAGGAATCAGTGTGCAGGCTGGGCAGAAGAATCGTGTTTATTGGAGGGTTGGGGGTGGGGAGGACTCAGCACGGAGCAGGGCTGTGTGGGTGGAGGGGCTCAGGTGGCCAAGAAGCCCCCATCCACGGGCACAGTGGAGCCCGTGGTCATGCTGCTCCGGTCACTCAGCAGGAAAAGGATGGTGTCCACCACATTGTCCACCTCTGCAGGCGGGGTGGGGCCAGGGCGTGGGTGAAGGGGGCTGCCTTCCATCCTTCCCTCCCAGCCCTCACCCAGGCTGGCACAGGGGTTCCTGCTGCAACTCCAGCTGGACTCTGGCCTGACTCACCAGCAAACCTGCCCAGTGGGATGCGGTCCAGCATGGTCTTGGCCTTCTGAGGGTCGCTCCAATTGGTCCGGGCCATGGCCGTCATCACCACTGTGGGGTTCACTGCATTCACACGGATCTGTGCCGGGATAGGTGGGGGTCAGCAAGGCGGCACACAGGCAGGGTGATGGGAGGCACCCCAGCGGGACTCACCTTGTGTGGACCGAGCTCCAGAGCCATCATTTTGGTCAGCATATCCATGGCACCCTTGGTGGAACCTGTGAGGAGGGCTCAGCATGAGTGGAGCCTGAGCTGGCTGCAGGCGGGTGTGGGGGAGTGGGGTGGGGCCGCTGCAGCTGGGCTCACAGTAGACAGTGTGGTTCGGAATTGCACGCTGGGAGGCCTGGCTGGACACGTTCACGATGGACCCTGGGGCTCCCCGAGCGATCAAGCCCCGGGCCACGATCTGGAATTTCAGAGGAACGTCAGTGAGGCTGAACTAGTGTCACCCAGCTGCTCCCACTCCTGACCTGAAGGCAGCTCACTTGGGACACCTGGATGACAGCCCGCAGGTTGACGTCAAAGGAGCTGCAGGCAGATGGAAGGCCCTGGTCAGGGGCGGGCTGCTGCTGCTGGGGGCAGCCCACACCCCAGGGTTCCTGCACCCTGCAGGCTCACATGTCAAATGCCTCCTTGGTGACCTCCAAGAAGGGCTGCAGCAGGGCCACGGCAGCATTGTTCACCAGCAGGTCCACCGGGCCCACGCTGCCCAGGGCCCGCTCCGTGGCCTCCCAGTCACCCAGGTCCACGCACACCGGCTCTACCCCGGGGCACTGTGTGTACGTATTGGGTGGTGAGGGCACAGCTACCAGTCTCCATACCCAAGAAGGGGCACAGTAAGGCATTGGAGCTTGGTGTGAGTAACCTTTCAGCCCACCAGGGGGAGGGCTAAGGGGTCCCAGAGGGCCAGCCACCCTCTTGGGGCTCAGGATCCCAGGCGGCTCAGGGAGGGGAGGGGAATTAACACGGCCTCCAGGCCGCTAGGCAATTCAGAGCTTCAGGACAGCCGTCTGGCACCGCCCCCCGAAAGTCCATTTCCTCCCTGCGCCTGAGCGCCTCTGGTCCCGGGCGTGCAAGGCAGCCATTTCTGCCTCCTTCCAAGCCCAGGGGGCGTCGCCGTCCTGTTGGCCGCTCCGGGGGCTCACGGAGTCCGTGCGCCCCGGGAAGGGTTGCTGAGGGTCCTTGGTCAGCCCCAGCGCCCGGCGCCGCGCGTCCCGGCCCCCCGCCGGCCCCGCCCGCTGCCAGCCGGGCCGGGACGAGTCGGCGCCTACCTCGACGACCAGGCTGTCCAAGTCGCCCCGGGTCCGACTCACAGCCACCACCTGCACACCCATCGCGTGCAGCGCCTGGACCGTGCTGCGCCCGATGCCTGCGGGGAGCGCGGCTCAGTGCGGGCGCCCCTCCCCCGCCGCCCCCGGC